AAACAATAATATAGTGCTCCAATCCGTTCTTATAATAATGACATAAAATACAAAGCACTTATGCAAGCGATTGCCCACAGCTAAAGTTTAGCTGCTAAACTGTGAACACTTAAAACAATAATTGTGGATACGTTAGCCGAGTGCTAACATGACTAACTGATGAAACAATACAGTTTGTAAACCAAAATATGTCTACTGTAATGTTTGAAGAACGACAGACAAAAGACACTGTCTTAACTTTTAATCAGAACGCAGAACAGCTGTATCACAGGCGCAGCAGCCTAACTAACTCCCGCATTAACCCTATAACTGCCGGTGCAGCAAAATAAACAGCAATTTCACAATGATTATAAAGTCTGTGTGCTACACTACATTCTTTATTATTAAACAAAGTAATTAGAACAACGTTAGTCTCCATTAATCGACAAATTCTTAGGAAATAGTGGGTTCACAGCGAATTATCAGAACTACTTCAGTAAGACGGTAATATCGTGCTTTACCTGGAAACATAAAGCTGCACTAGGTATACATCACATATTAGCACAAAAACTTGATATTTTGAGCACTCAACTGAAAATGTACAAGTATCAATCGTACTTACAGGTTGTGGTTCGGAGAGCTTATTAGTCCAAATTAAGAAGATTAGAAGTCGACGAAGATAAAAGCCAAGATTAGAGAAGCAGTTCTTGGTAAAATGACATGCACACAACAAAAGGTTCGAATTGTATTTCTGTGGTATCCTTGAACACAGCGTCTTCTCAACATGATGCAAACACACTAACAAGTAGGGATGGGTGTATCGATCCAAAGTATCGATATATCGATACTGACGCGAGTATCGAATGTATCGATACTCAAACAAAAAATATCGATACTAAGGTGTGTTTTATTTACCAGTGATTTTGTTAATTTAACAAAAAAAAAAGAATGTGTACAATATGCATTGAATTGGACGAATAACCTTTGTTAGCGAGTAATTGTGTAGGATAGAACTATTTTCCTGCTCATCTGGACACGCAAATGTTGCAAGACAAAACTAATCAATCACAGAGAGCATTCACTCACATCTGACAGTGCATTCAAACAGGGCTGCTTTTCCCAAAAGTATCATAAGAAAGCATTAAAGCTTTTGGGAACGGCAGCCCTGAACAATGCTTATCAGAGGACAGAAAAAAACATATGTTTGACTTATTTCACAATAAACAAACTGAAATTGTAGCCTACATAGTTTGTGCAATTACAGTTATTTACATTGAACGTCGAAAGATAATATTGATCATGTTCTATTCTGTAATGTTAATAGAAATCATACACTGTCAGAATAAAAAGGTTGCATTTTATGCATGCAACAGCCTGTCACTGGCAGTCCCTTATGAAAATGAACCATGGTTTTACTAAAGTGACCATAGTTCAACTGTAGTATTTGTAGATTTGAATCATGTGTAAACAAAAAACATTTGAACCATGTGTAAACAAAAATATAACCTAATAAGTTACAATTAAGGCGTATTGAATGTTAAAATGCGTTTTAAACAAAGTTAAGTGGTTATCATTAGCCATTTTACTCTTAGTAATTTAATAAATTTCATAATTTAAAAGTTTAGTTCAGAAGTATCGAATCGGTATCGATATCGACGATACTGCCTTGAAAAATATCGGTATCATATCGAAAACAAAATAAGTGGTATCGCCCATCCCTACTAACTAGCAGAAGTGTTTGTGGGCAGGTCAGACTCTGTTTGTATGCGGGGATTATGCAAATGTGTTACCCAGTGACGTATACCGGTAACAGGCAAAAGATTCGTTAAATATGACGACTCGTTAAGGCGATTCAGAATCGACTCTCTCTTTTGAGAGACAATATCTTTATTTATCATGCACTTTTTTGATTAACAACTTTGCAGATTGTTTTCATTTAAGGATAGCTACGTTATAAACGAGATATTTTTCAAAAACCCATATGACCTGCTCTTTAAATATATATATATACATATAATAGTTTATATATATAAATATATGCGTGTGTGTTTTAATAATTGTAATAAATATATTTGTATATAATTACATATATCGTTATAATTATTTGAAAAGGTTTTGTTCGTTTTAATTTTAAAAACCATTTATTTATTGTAATCCATATATTAGTAAATAATATAATTCTTATATATGCAGTTATAATTATAATTTTATCTAATTAAGTAATTTATTTATAAACACAGTGATAAAGGTTTATACTGGATTCCAGATTTGAACGGTTCCATTAAAAACGATTGTTGAAATGTTTGTGTTTTTGTTTTCTTTGTCCACTGTAGAACTATGGTGGTATGAGGCCTCCTCCCAACTCTCTAGGTGGTCCAGGCATGCCCGGAATGAACATGTGAGTCCTTCAACATGAAAACACTCCCTTTCCCCATTTATTTAATCCTGTTAAATCATGTTTGTTAACTTCCTTCTGTCTCTGTTCTGTATTTCTATCCTTTTTGGCCCTCCCTTCACGTTACAGGGGTCCTGGAGGACGTGGCCCGTGGCCAAACCCGAATGCTAACTCGGTACGTTCATACATACGCTGTTGTCTGCATGTAGCTTGGTGGCTGCAGACAAAAACGTGACATTCATTATTGCTACGCTGTCCACACAAAATTAATATGGTTGCACCATGATACAGCAATGGTTTCAGATTATATATGAAAGATTATCATATGCATAAATCATAGTATTATTATTATTAAGTGGTGTAGTTTAATTCTCATCCAAGTAACTGTATTCATATTCTTTTGTTTGGGTTGACAGATAGCATACTCCTCCTCATCTCCAGGCAACTACGTGGTGAGTACCAAACTTTAGTTTACTTTCTGTAGTATATATTAATTGTCTTAATGCATGAAAAACAGAAACAATTTCCAAGCTATCTTCATAATATTTCATCAACTTGCCCTGAAACTACTTTCAGTTTTGGATGATGTGACATGCAGGGTATTGGTTAATGTTAACAAATAGCTATTTTAGCATTATTTTATGCTACTCTTATAGAAAATGAAGGCTTTCCAAAATATTGGCAGTAGTTTAACACAGTAATGTAGTTTTGTTAATGGATCAGAGGTTACGGTAATATGCTCTCGAGGGTGATCAATCAAAAACCTCCTGAAAAGTGTGTGCCAGGCATGTTTTAGGAGAAAAACAGTCTTCTTAAAATAAAATAGTTTGCGAATGCACTTTCAAATTGACCACTGCAGAGATTTTTAGCTTTTTTGCCTCGCCGTCTTTTAGCTCAAAGGAAAACTGCAAAATTTAGTCTTTCCTTTTAGAAACTAAAAGCATAACTAAGCAGATGTTAAAGTTTCTAAATGTATTGATTTTACTTGAGCAATTACTATCCTGCTTAGTTTTGCCGCTAGCATTGCCTCTCTTAAAAGTAAAATATCTGCACATTAGTCAAAGCAGCTCGATGGCTCCCCTGTGCCTAGTGTGTCTTTGTTTAAAAACTGCTCCTCTGGTAGTTCTCTGATAGTACGGCAGGTACTATTACACTCTGAGAAGCTAAACACGGGTTTGTGTGCCTGTTTCCTCCCTCAGGGTCCTCCAGGAGGAGGTGGTCCACCAGGAACTCCCATAATGCCAAGCCCAGGAGGTACAGTAGATCTGTTCTGTCGCTCTCCCTTTTGCATATCATTCACACACTCGCTCTCACCTCGCCTCTATAATCGGCACAGCCGGAAACAGTACGTGTCTCTCCAGGAAAGAAAGATGCTCAGCACTTCACAAACACCCTATTTAACACCCTCCTCCCTCCTTCCCTACCCAGCAGCCAATATCACTGCAAGGTTACCTGCATTTCCTCTGGCAGGAAAACAAAACATGTGATCAGCTCCACCCCTCCCACTTTGTTAATGTAATTCCAGTCGGCATGCTTGTGTTTGTGATGTTGAAGCAGAGTTTATAGGTGTGAGCGGTGTCTCCCTCTCTCTTGCTCTCCCGCTCACACAAGCCATAAATTATTAAAGAAACACATTTATTATGGTGATTAATCTCATCCAGCCATGTTCTGTATTGATCTAGTGTGCTGCTAAAGCATTGGTCATCCATATATGCTTGGAAGTGACTCTTGGTCTCTTATTTTGGTGAAGTTGTGCTGGTCTCAGAAGCAAACTTTCTGCTCTCTTCTCATCTAGACTCCACAAACTCCAGTGAAAATATCTATACGATGATGAACCCTATTGGACCAGGAGGAAACAGACCCAGTGTATGTATTACCCCCATCTAGATATGCATTTACTAGAGTAGTTATACTACCGTTCAAAAATTATTGTCAATAGCTGGTTGATAGATTCATTGATTAATACAAAATAACAGCATTTTATTTAAAATGTAAACCGTATGTAACATTACATTTGCCTTTACCTTCAATAACTCCAAATATTTTAACACTAGTGTAAATATCTCTCCACTTAATTATTTTTTTTAATATTTGTGATGCATTTCCAAAACCACAGCTACACTTTTTGATTCCCAAACATACTACATTTGATTATTTAACAGCTCTTTGGAATACTTGATTCTTATTGGTCAGTTGTGGCATTTAGCAGCCAAATGTTTGTGCATCCTGACTGCTAGAATTGATTGTTGTTTGATTGCCTTCATACTGTAGCTATGCTAGTTTCGTGTGTGCTAGTGCTCATATCACTCCATGGTCTCTTTCTTCTTACATAATACTACGATTTGAACTCAAATCAATATTTAATGTCCAATTATTTATTTACTTGCTTAAGTAGTCATGTAATAAGCTTGATAATGTTCAGTCATTCAGTCATCATCACAAAATAAACCCCTTCAGTGTGATTTAAGACCTGTCTGGATTTATTTGTAATAATAAGTGCCTGATTGTACATTACGCTTTATTTATATTAATCCTAAATGTCACATTGTGATCATTGTTTTCATAAAAACGCAGCCATGCTTTTAGTGAAATCAAAGGGGACATGCTCATCCTTTTTAAATTAATGTTTATATCTCAGAAGAAGTCTTATGTTACTCAGGGCACTGGATGCAGGATGGTTGGTTGAACGTGATTGTTTCTCTGTGTTTCTCAGTTCCCCATGGGTCCCGGTCCAGATGGCCCAATGGGCGGCATGGGTGGCATGGAACCCCATCATATGAACGGATCGTTAGGTAAGCTTTAAAACGGCACTGTTATTCAAAATAATACCGATATACTACTTAAAAAAAAATCTCAAAAGGTGTTTATTTAATAGTATTAATATATACTTTATTTATTTTTTTCAGGCTCTGGTGACATGGATGGGTTGCCAAAGGTAAAGAAGGGTTTTAGTGCCTGTTTACACCTGGTCATTTCATGCGTTTTTGCTGATCGGATATCTATCTGATTTGTTAAAACGTTTCCATCCAGTCGTCGCAAAACGGATATAAATCCGATCTTCAATTCCCACGCTATATTTAAAGGGTTAGTTCACCCAACTCACCCTCATGTCGTTCTAAACCCGCAAGACCTTACGTTCATCTTCGGAACACAAATTAAGATATTTTTGATGAATTCGGAGAGCTCTCTGACCCTCCCATAGACAACAATGTAATTACCACTGAACGTAAACAGCGTATGCTATTCTGTGTCAGCTGCGTCATGCGGATACGTTTTCGTTAAAACGTTTCCATTTACACTTGGCCACATAAATGTGTCGTCGCAAAACGGATATAAATCCGATCTTCAATTCCCACGCTATATTTAAAGGGTTAGTTCACCCAACTCACCCTCATGTCGTTCTAAACCCGCAAGACCTTACGTTCATCTTCGGAACACAAATTAAGATATTTTTGATGAATTCGGAGAGCTCTCTGACCCTCCCATAGACAACAATGTAATTACCACTGAACGTAAACAGCGTATGCTATTCTGTGTCAGCTGCGTCATGCGGATACGTTGTTTTCGTTCAAATCAAAGCGTAAACAACGTAGAAAACGTATCCACGTGACGCAGCTGACACAGAATAGCATAAGCTGTTTACGTTCAGTGGATATTCTCGTTCAGTGGCTATGCATACAAAAGGTATTCTCGTGGCTTCGTAAAATTACGGTTGAACCCCCGATGTCACGTGGATTATTTTACAGATCTCCTTGCTATGCTTCTGGACCTTGATCGTGGTAATTACATTGCTGTCTATGGAGGGTCAGAGAGCTCTCAAATTCCATCAAAAATATCTTAATTTGTGTTCCGAAGATGAACTTACGGGTTTAGAACGACATGAGATGACAGAATTTTCATTTTTGGGTGAACTAACCCTTTAAATTTAACGAAGTTCACGTCAACGAAATCAAAAGATAATGTCACATAGCCTATAACATGCTCTCACACATTCATTATTTTAACATTTTGGGAGGAGTAACATTTACATATGTGGTTTCAACAACCAGATGCATGCACAGATTGTGAATCTGTGTTTTTTTTTCTTTGCTGTTTTCACATCTCAACCTGAGATGAACGAAGGTCTTACGGGTTTGAAACGGCATGAGGGTGAGTAATTAATGACAGAATTTTCATTTTGGGGTGAACTAACCCTTTAAAATACATAAAAGATAGAAGTTATTTTAAATTGTTACAATATTTCAAAATATCAATATTTGTATCGTTTTTAAGATCAAATAAACACAGCCTTGGTGAGCACAATAAACATCTTTCAAAAACATTTTAAAATCTTACCGACCCCAAACTTTTTACCATTAGTGTAGCTCCGCCCAGCATGCACTCAGAAGGCCACATCCACTGACCATGTTACTTACAGACCAGAATATCAAATCAATTAAAAAAATAAAAATAAAACTCTGAAAATGATTTGATTTGTAAGTGTTATTGATTCAGTCCTAGAGTGAGTGCTGGAAATGGCTTTTGCTATAAAAGACCAGCAGTTTCCTGGACAGATACTTTCCAAGTTTTCTGTCCTTTGGTTACTGCTTTGTCGACAAAATCATGCATTTTCTTGCTGTATTTTGGGACGGTGATGACATAACCATCTTGTATTTGCTCTGTGTAGAGTTCTCATGATCTCACCTCCGCTATATATCCCCCCCTCCCCTTTGTCTCTTTCCAGTATTCACCCAACATGACGATGAGTGTGTGATTTCTTCTTGTTTTGTTTTATTTGGGGTTTTCTTTTTCGTTTCGTTTTCAAACCCCCTCCAACCGCCCCGTTCCTTTTTGTAACCCCGTCCCCTCTTCACGTCGATCAACCCCTGGCACCCTCTGCCCACGGAACTCTGGCTTTTTCTGCACAGCCTTCTGGGATGTCCCACGAGCAGAGGACTCGCATGAAAGTGGCCCATCCCAGCTTGTGCAAAATGGCCACCGGCAACAGGAAACAGTCCCAGAGCCACAGGAAGAGCTTGTTGACTGAATCTCCCTGCCTCCCGGACTTCCTCTCTGGTTCAGGACACTAACGGGGCTGAACACACACAGGAAGGCAGGCACACACGCTTCACCGGGCTGCTCACTTTATGATCTTTAAGAACTCACTCCACTTTTGTGATTCGTTTTTTTAATCTTGAATGGATGCAGTCGTTTTTACAGTGGAAAATATCTGCACCTTTTCCCTCCATTTTAATGTGTAAATGCAAGAGGAAACTCTTTAAGATGGGTCTGGCAATGAACATTTTCATTATTCTGTGTATGTATTGTATTATTATCAATTGTTGATTTTATTTGTATTAATATTGTAATGATGGTTACTGATTAGGTTTTAATCTTTTTTTTGAAAGGGGCACATTGTATGTAAACCACCAATTTGGCAGAAAAAAAGCACACCTCCATAATGCACAATAACAGTGTCATGACTTTTGCAGGAAGTCTACACTAGGTTTTGTGTTTGCTGTGAAATCTTACCTCCCGCAGATTAAAAAGGTAACAGTACCTTTTCTTCTACGTCTCTAGTACACATCTATATACAGGAAATGTAGTTTCATTGTCCCTGTTGAGTGAATGTCTGAGGCCATGAGGCTCGAGGCCCAAACCAGCAGCGACTTTAACCTCCTCAGACCAGTCTGTGCATCCAACAACACGTTTTGGAGTCTCAATCTATCTGTAGAGAGGACGTGATGTCATACCAGAGCCGGAAACATGTGGTTATACAACTAACTAGTGCTAAACTTGACTCAAACACATGACAGATGTCTGCTCATCGTGATTCACAACTTATTTATTTGTTGTTTTCGTTCATGAATTGATTTATCGTGCACACGTCTCGCATGCGACCCATCAGGACATATTGTACACATGTAAATATGCCAGTCTAAGATACCTCCTGAAGATTTGTATCATTCTGTCCTTCGCCAGAGACCCACATGCTTTCCTTCTGCATGAATCTGAACAGTGTGTCTCTAGTCACATGACAATACAAATGAGGATCCTGTCGGCTCGGTGCTCATCATACTGGAGATTTTTTCGGGTGCAGGAATAGAGCCCTCCTCCTCAAACACATTTTGTTAAGTATGTGTTCTGTATTATGTCTAATCGTGGCTCCAGGGCTTATTTTTCTGAGTTTATGAGATGAGGGGATAGTAATAGGATTTCCAGGGACTACTGAATGAGGGATACATGAACTAAATGTGCTCACAGCCTGTGTGTTTCATAATATTAACATGCATTTTTTCATTTTGTCCTTTGCGTTTGGTGTTTTGCATTTTCTGTCGGTCTTTTAAAGGGATAGTCCATCCAAAAATGAAAATTCTGTCATTTACTTGCGTCGTTCTCGTTCCAAAACGTTTCGATTGCGATTTTGACTTGCATTGTAATTTTTGTCTATATAATGAAAGTCAATGGGAAATTTTTGGTTACCAACATTCTTCAAAATATTCTTAAAGAAGATGCTTTAATCTATCTTGTTAAAGAAGAATTTTGAAGAATGTTAGTAAATAAACCATTTTGGTTCCCGTTGACTTCAATTGTAATTTTTGGCCATACAGTGTAAGTCGATGAGAACGGAAACTGTTTGGTTACCAGTTCTTCAAAATATTCTTAAAAGAAGATGTTTTAATCTATTTTGTTACAGAAGATATTTTGAAGAATGTTGGTATAATTTTTGTTCATTCAGTCAATGAGAAGTGAAACTTTTTTTTCTTTCTGGAAGAACAATGCTGATAACTAAACTGTTTCAGTCTCCATTGACTTCAATTTAAAAAAGTTTTTTCATACAATGGAAGTGAATAGGAACTTGAAGATTGGTTGGTTAATAACATTTTTCTTTTAAGTTTATTTCAATCTGTCTTTTTAAAGATTCTTTTGAAGAATGTTGATAACTAAAATGTTTCGGCCTCTATTGACTTTGTCATTTTTGACCATGCAATGGAAGTCAATGGGAACGGAAACTATTTGGTTACCAACATTCTTCTAAGTATCTTCTTTTATTTTCCACTGAAAGTCACACAGGTTTGGAATTACGTGAGGGTGAGTGATTTTGGGGTCTTCTTATCCCTGGAAACAAAACGTGTTTTTGGAAGTAGGGCTCTGGAAGTAGAAATGGTTATTAGGGATCCGAAGGAACCGGTAAATATCAGAGCTAAATGCTAAAATCCTCCTGCTGATTACATACACACACATTAATCACACAGCACCTGTTTTTAAGTTCTCCACAGCTTGATGACACGATGTACACAGAGAAACACACATTTATACAGCGTCTATCTTATAGTATTACTTTGTTTGTTTGTAAATACTGTAAAATGCATTTTGATATCATTGACATGTTTTGATATTTCAGTCACTACCAATGAATACTACGAGATCTTAGGGGTAAAAAAAAATGTAAAGGAAGAACCCATGTTTGTAGTTAAAGAATCACCATTCTCTGTCTTTGACGCTGTACAGATGTACTAAATCATGCAAATGTAAAGTTTTGTCAGCCTCTACTTAGTAAACAACGTCTGAGCGCTCATGTTTTAGGAGAACAGGAAAGGAAGGGGTGTTTGAAGCGGTACCGTTCGCTCCTTGTAGACTAGACACTCACAGGAGGGATGTATGTGGAGGGCGAAAGCCTCTCGGACGTGTCCTCACTTTGCACTTTCCAGACAGCAGCCCACCTTTTAACACATTGCCTATGTGGACATACATGAACACTCTCTTTATGTGCAAAAGGGACCACACATTGCAAACTTTACTATGAAGGATTTTTATCTATTTCAAAAACAGGTTTAAAAACTTGTTCAGAGTAGGGATTTTAAAAAAAGGTAATAAAACGAAAGGAAGTGTCCTTCCTGTTCTTTTGAGATAGTGTTTTATAGGTTGCGGTCTCTTCTCCTCAGCCAGTCCTCTGTATGTAAACCACTCATGTCGTTGGCCATCTCTGTAATTCTATTGTGACGCTGTACGATACTGTAACATTAGCGAGGAGACTAGTTGCGGAGGGGCTTCAGATGTGGGAAAGAAAAAAAAAATCCTCCTCCACTGTTCTTTCTGACAAATGAAAAGCAGTATCGAGTATAAAGCAGTCTGTCTCCTGGGTTTGCTTTGCATTTCATGTTTAGGGTAGTTCGGATCCTTGTCTTAGGGACTCTTTCTGTCTTGTGTAGTAAATTAAGATGTTCTTTGTATGTTCCTTTATATTGTAAAGTTTCTTTTAGATTTAAAAGTTGCTTATTAAAAAAGGATGGAAAAAGTGCTTCAATAATGTATTTTTTTTCTCTCTCTTCGGTTTCTTTTTTCATGGAGTTGTTGCTTATTTTTTTGCTTGTCCCTTCGTTGTAGATACAAATTTAAGACTAATAAAATAACATAACCCCTTTTACCAAGACTTTCTGCTCTCCCAGCTCTTAATTTATTATTAAAACAGTTTATTTTGAAATGTGTGTGTTCTTTTTATGCGTCCTGTTCACTTCACCTGCTTTTGTAAACTACCATTTTTAAGTTTATTCAAGTCTCTTATGCTCACCTTTCACTGCATTTAGTTGATCAAAAACATTTATATTGTGAAGTATTATTAAAATAACTATATAATCTAATGTATTTCTAAAAAGTAATTTATTCTTATGATGGCAAAGTTTTCAGCAGCATTCCTGCAGTATTCAGTGTCACATGATCCTCCAGAAATCATTTTAATATGCTTATTTATTGCTCAAGAAATATTTCATATTGTTATCAATGTTGATAACAGTTGTGCTACTTAATATTTTTGTGGAAATATAGATTTTTGTCATGATTATTTGATAAATAGTAAGTTCAAAGAACATTTGTTTGATAAAGAAATACTATAAATGTCTTTGCTGTCAGTTTTGATCAATTTAATGCATCCTTGTTGAAGTATTAGTGTATTTAAAAAACAAACAAATAAATAAAAATACCCCAAACTTGAACAGTTCTGTACATCTGCAGTTAACGGGACATTTTATTTATTTATTTTTTAGCATTTTATTTTTTCCCAGTCAACTTACGGGTATTTCTTACACTGATTATAACCATTTTTAAACTATATGATATTTTTTTTTCAGATTCCAATTTGCATTTTATAGCATTTTATTATTGAATAGGTCAGTAAATTAATTAATTCAGACTTTAACATTGTTACAAATGCAAACATTGTTAAAAATGTAATTCAAACAAATGCACTTTTGCTCCTATTCATGGTTTCTACAAAAACAATTACACAGCAAAGCCATTTTCAACATCATAAAAATAAATGTTTCTTGAGCAGCAAATCAGTTTTGCATCACATGAATACATTTTCAAACAAATTTCAAAAAGTTGTTTTAAATTATAAAAATATTTTTTCAATATTACATTTTGATCAAATAAATGCAGTAACGGAGCTAAAAGAAGCTTGTTTTAAAAAACAATTTTAGAAATCATAATTATTCAGAGCTTTTGACCGGTAGTGTATATTTCTGATTCTTGCAAACATTGTGATGGTGTGCATGCTCTGAGGATATTTAACCGGCTGTGCTGGTGAGGTCTCCTCTGTCAGAGGTTTCTAGTTTCATCCTCTCTCTTGTCCCCTGAGAACTCGGTGTACGGCACCAACATCAATCTCTCTGGCAGGAAGTGCCTCTCTCGTGTAGCTGGAGAGGAGGGTACAGCCGTTATAAATCGCCACTGCTGTTCTCCTAGGGAAGAGTGTGAATATTAATTAATGCGGTGAAACAGTGACCCTTGGGCTGCAATTAATTTCAATTGAGGGGTGCCAGCGAGAACTCATACAAACAGCATTAATGCTATCAAGTCTCCAAGGTTGTGATGTCCCTGAGGTATAGAAATATTCCAACTGCCAGATTATGACTCTCGTGATGAAAAACAAAGTACTGATTGAAATGTCCCCTTCATACAGATTTAACAGTGCCAGGTGTGTATACACACTGCAATGGCTCACAATTAATTATTAAAAAGCGCTTTGAATTCATTCTTCAGACGTCTATGAGCTCTGAATCATGTTTAAAGAGGACTACACAAGGGCACA